CCAGATCCGGTGAATAAGGTGGATGAAGACACACCATAATGTTTTTATCTGACAGAAATTGCCGTGCCAGAAGCGATGTGTGATAGGGAGTCTTCCTGATGAGATCACAAAATACAGTGAATGCTGCTGCCAAGTGCCATCTATCAGAAAGGCAGGCATCTTTAATATGGGAAGCTGCCCGGCCTGTTGAACCTTAGTAACAATGTGTGACAAGTTTCACCTTGTTCTGTGCAGTCAGCTGGGTGTGAGCTACAGTTGAGAGATGGTGTGTTTTAAAGTGTGCACTAAAGCATGGATCATGAATAATGCATTAACATGAAATGGGCAAACAGTTTCATCCTCCATCATGACAATGCTCCGTGTCACACATTGGTTCTGTTATGGCAATTTCTGTCAAATAAAAACATAACAGTATGTCCTCATCTACCTTATTCACCAGATCTGGCACTGAGTGACTTCTGGTTCTTCCCCAAAGTTAAAATGATTCAGGCCATCGAGGTAGCCATGACAGCGCAACTAAAGACACTCACGAAAAAGGATTTCCAGAACTGCTTCAGAAAGTGGCAAAAACGTTGGGTGGGATAAGTGTGTTTGAAGCGAGGGGGAGTGTTTTGAGGGGGATTAATGGCAATATGTCTTTTACCGTCAAAGTTTTTTTAATTTAAATATTCATCGTATTGTTTGATCACACCTTGTATACTTAATAAAAGTTATGTGAATGTGGTCTCTCTATCTCTCAAACTACCTTATTTTACTGTACTTACTTTTTTACTTTAAGGAAACACTTTACGGCTTCTACTTGGCATCACAGTATTACTATTCTTGCACTTTGGGTTAGCTATTAAGTAAAATAAGGGTTACTTGAACACAAGCACTGCCATACCAGGACAGCTGATGTGATCACCGAGACAGTTACTAAATGACTAATGGGTGGGGAGTGTACACAGCATGGACATGCTGGACAAAGGGACGATTCATGTCCTGGGCAAGACGGAGCAAGATAGCATGAGATTTCATCACCCTACTCAGAATGGTGCACGATTTAAAACTTATGAATTGTTCTCTTTGGAATTTTAATAATTTAATAATTTTAATAATTTCAGACCGCATGACTGAGGGTGACTGAAATCTTGAAAAGCAAAACTATGGATAAAGGGGCACTGCTGTTTTACATTTTATTCATTTATCAGTTGATGGGCATTTGGATCATTTCCATTTTTTGGCTACTATAAGTAATGCTGCTATGAACACTCACAGATCTAAGTGTGTAGACCTAAGTTTTCCTTTCTCTTGGAGTGGAATTACTGGGCCATATGGTAACTTTATGTTTAACCTTTTGAGGCAATGCCAGACTGTTTTCTAGGAGGCCGCACCATTTTATATTCCCACCAGCAGTGTACAAGGGGCTCCAAGTTCTCCACATCTTTGCCAACATTTTCATTATCAGCATTATTATTATTATTATTATTATTATTATTATTATTGCTTTCCTAGTAGCTGTGAAGTGGTATGCCATTGTGGTTTTGGTTTGCATTTCTTTGATGGCTAATGATGTTGAGCATCTTTTCATGTGCTTATTGGCCATTTGTATGTCTTCTTTAGAGAAATATCTATTCAGATTCTTGGCCAATTTAAAAAACTGGGCTATTTGTCTTTTTATTATTGAGTTGTAAGAATTATTTATATATTCTAGTTACAAGTCCCTTATCAGATATATGATTTGCAAAACTTTTCTCCTGATTATGTGATTTTTGACATGTAACTCAGAAAGAGTTCAAAGAATTAGGAGGTATTGATATAATAAAGCTCCATCTATTTATGTAAATGAGGTTTCTTAGCCCTTACACTTACAAAATAAAATATAGAAATAGAATTAATCCTGAATCCTGCTAGAGCTTTATTATATTAACTAAATTTTAAAATTTAAATTTATATGTATATTTGTTTCAGGTAGTATTACAGGTGAATCAATAAAAGCTCCTCAAGCATAAAAATATTTATAATAAGCGTTAATATTTATGAGCTACCAGAACTGAGACTCTTTGAAATATTTAACCTTATACGGAAATTCTTCAAATTCTTTAATATATGAAAAATGGAGTTTGACACGTTTCTAACAAGCTACTCCTTTCTGTCTTTGATCCCCACCAAAATGCCCTTTCTTGTGGGTGGGAGGGTGAGGCGGCACGGTCTCTTAATTTCCTAGGGCAGGCAGGAGTTCTCAACCTGGGCTTCTGGTAGTTATATGTTTTCTGAAATTGCTTGCTCTTCGATACGCACCTTGGTATCATCATCTGCCTGTTGTTTGTATTCTCCCGAGGATCACTCCATCCCAGGATTTAGGGCAAGGTACAGATTCCAGTCTTTCCATTATGTTCTAATGGAATAGAGTTAAACATATCTGGACCTGCCTCTTTTTCTATTAATTAATTAATTAATTTATTTGTTCATTTATCACATACAGTATGCCTCCTCACATGCTGGTACTATTCTAGGGGACAGAAATAGAATAATGAACAGGCAGACAATGTCCTTTCTTTGCTGGGATCTCTCCTCTAGAAGAGCACTATTAAGAAATAGGTAAGAAACAAACAAGATTATTTTAGGCAGAATTAATTACTGTGAGGAAAGCAAAAGAGGGTGATATGACAGTGTTATGAAGAAGTGGGGGTACTTTAAAGACTCTTTAAGGAGCTAACATTGGAGCAGAAGCATGAGTGGGGAGAAGAAAGTAGCCAGGAAGTGAACACAGCCGGTGCAAAGGCCATCAGCAGGAAGAAGGTTGGTGTTTCTGGGTAATTTCCAAGTCAGGGCTTGGAGAGTACTGAGCAGGAGAGGTGAGGTTGGAGGGGCATTTTATCCCAGGTACAATGGTAAACCACGGATAAGTTTTAAGGAGAGGAGTAACTGATCTGGTTTATATTTTAAAACAAAACCCTCTGGCTATTGTGATAAAAATGAATTGTATAAATTTGGGGGGAAAGGGTTCAAAGAGGAGGAGCAAGGGAAGGAGTTAGCTACTGTGGTAGTAGAGGCCAGAGATTAGGATGACTTGGACTGGGGGAGAAATGAAACAACTGAGAACATTTAAGATATACTTTGGAGGTGGAGCTGATAGGAGTTGTTAATAGTTTGGATATGGCTTGTGAGGAAAAGAGGAGAATCAAGGACAACTCCTATGAAATTAGTTTTGAACAACTGGGTGAATGATGCAGTAGATTTGAAGATACTCTTTTGGAATTTGGAACATCTATTAAACAATTAAGTGACAAAGTGATGTAGCATTAGATATATGAATCCGGAGTTCAGGAGAGAGGTCAGGGTTAGAGATAAGAATATGGGAGTCAAGAGTATGCAGATGGCACTTAAAACCATTGTGGTAGGCTGAAAAAAAATGGCCCCCAAATATGTCCACATCTTAATCCCTGAAACCTTAAAGGACCTATTGTGCATGAAGGCACTTAAAATGTGTCATTTGTAAGCCTCACAACAACCACCCATGGTAGGTGCTATTATCCTCCACTTAATAGATGGAGAGCCTGAGGCTTAGAGAGGTAGAATGCCTTGCTCTAGAACCCAAAGCTGGAAAATATCTCTATCTTCCTTACAGGGGTCTTACAGAATTTCTGCAAAAATGGGAGGTGGCAAAGAGCTGCACTGTATTTTGAGACAGGCCCTGTGCAGCACACTGCCTTGGCTGCCAAAAATCTGCCTTTGAAATGCATTCCCGCAAGGCCTGTCCCATTCTTTGCCCAGATCTGGCATGTTATTTTTCTGCGCTCTAGAGCCCTTGTCAGCCCAATCACACCACAAAGACCATGACCACTTCTCAGCTGACTTGTTAACTCTTAGATGGGGTTATCATGTAATGAAGGACACCACATGCCAGGCCCGCACCAGGCACCTAACATTCATTCAATAATCACAATAACTCTCCATTGTCTCTGGAGCAAGCTAGACAGTTTGGATTGCTGGGGAATGGAAAGAAGTTAGGACCAGGAGCAGGGAGGCCTGGGTTCAAGTGTGAGGGTGCTATAGCCCCTATAGTCCTAACTGGGAGCTAAAGTAAGCTTATGTTACTTTGGTAAATTAGCCATCTAAGAAAACGGGGAGGTTTGACACTACAGATGATTTCTAAACTCCCTCAAAAACACTTGTATGAGAGAGTCTCTTGTTTCCCTACCCTTGGAGCTCCACTAGTACGGACAGCGGTCTGAACCAATGGCACAGCGACTGTCTGCTCAGTCAGGGGCTGCCCCTCAGTTCCCTGCCTTAGAGGTCAGTACTGGCCGCTACTCATCCAATGGGCCGGAAAGCTGCAGAGCTTCCAACGATTGGAGCGCAAAGAAGTGGGCGATAGGTCATTCCAGGACAAGGGAGAAAAAGCTCTGAGAAACTACAACTCCCAGGAGCCCATGGGGTGTTACTCGGGGGCCTGGGCCTGGTGCATGCTGGGAGAGGTAAGCAGTCTCCCACCTCATTTCATTGTTAAGGCCGTTCCGGACAGGTAACCTGTGCGCATGCTCAGTTACGTCCCAGCTAGTCAACTAGCTCAGCTTCTTTCCTTCCGGCTCGCTTCTCTTTCCGGCCTCGCCCGGGCGTGCTTTTCCCCGCCTCAACCCTCCGCCCTCTTGTCAAGGATTTTGGAAGGGGCGGCGCCTCTGCAAGCGCCTTCCTAGGGCTGTGGACACGCGCGTTCACGGGAGATTAAAGAGGGTGGGGACTAAATACTGGGTGTGGAAGTAGGAGACCGCAGAACATAGAAGGCGCATGCGCCCTAGGGGAGGTGCTGCAAAGGTTGGGAATTGCGGAGGGGCCGAGCGGAACTGGGTAAGTGGGCAGACGCAAGCGCATTGGGCCGTCAACGCCCCGCCTCTTTTTTTAGGTTCCCCCTCCTCCATCACTCTTCCGGAAGTGCCGCCGCCCTCGCGCCGACCAGCGGCCACCTCCTGCGGCAGGCCCCGCCCCTTAGCGGCTCCGCCCCCCCCGGCTCTCCGCCCCCTCCGCTGGTGGTGGCGCGGGGTTGTAGCGCCGGTGGTGGCGGTTTCGGTGCACTAAGCCGGGAGCGCTGAGTCGTTCCCGGGGGCGGCAGCCAGGCTATGATCGCGGGTCCCTGGCTTCCCGCTCGGTCCAACCAGAGTCCTTTTTTCAGCTCTTGCCTGTCCCTGAGCGGTCTCCTCAACCCAGCTCCACTGCGCGGTTGGCAGCGGCGCCCCGGGCGCGCCCCCTCCTCCGATGGCGGCGGAGATCCAGCCCACGCCGCTGACCCGCAAGCCAATTCTGCTGCAGCGGGTCGAGGGGTCCCAGGAGGTGGTGAATATGGCCGTGATCGTTCCCAAGGAGGAGGGCGTCATCAGCGTCTCGGAGGACAGGTACAGACCGCTGCCTCTTGGTCGCGAGGAGGGGCGGGACGGGCCGGCGATCCTCGAACCCGCATCAGGGACTGTGCCTCCACGTCGGCGCAAGTGTAGACAAGCTCCCTTAAGTTTTTATTATAATACGCATCCTGGTGGTGCGGCTGTCGGGCTGTGCGCTGCCGCGGGTGCGTGAGTCGGGGAAGCGGAGCTCCTATAGAGGCGTGCGCTCTAGGCTCCCCCGGAGCCGGGTGACGCCGGCCCGCGCCAGGGAGGCCCATGGACTAATGCTATGCCGGCCACCCTGGTTCGTGGTCCAGCCCTGAGGGCGGGAGGGGGAGAGGGAGGGGCCGCCCGGCCCTGCAGGTGTGTACGTGGGGAGGATGCTCCGAGCCGCGTCTGCGAAAATAAGAGGGTTTTTGAGTACTCTGGTACAGTTCTTAGGGCTCCAAACTGAGAAAGCAAATGCCACTCTCTTCTCCCAGACAGTCCCATCGAATCCAGATTTCCTGGACATCTTACACTGAATTCAGTGAATATTGCCAAGTTGTGAAAAGAGTAACTTTGGGTTTCGGTCCAAAGGAGAGATGCCGTCTCTCTTTTGCCTTCCTTTTTAAATTTATTTTAATTTTTTTTATCTCTTCGAGCTCAAAGGGAAGCGCCGAGAACTTGCAAGGGACCACTGTTGCAAACAGCTTTTGAGTTCCTTCCCTTTGCTTGCTTCCTTTCTTTTTGCTTAATTTGCAGAAGTGGAGCCAGTTGTTCTGCCTTTAATACTTTTCCTTATTTTAAAAACAAAAGCGTTTTTTGCTTTAATGTCCTTTAGTTTGCAGAAATTAGGCTGACGAAGCTAATTTTCATAAGAATGCTGCTTGAATATAGTAGTTATGGTATTTTCTGGAATTGTTGCTTTGATACTATCTACTAGCATTCTAAAAAATTTAACACTGCAGAGATATATGACAAGGAGCTTTAACCTTAAAACAGTAGTTAGGTTTTCCTAATGTAAATTCAAATTATTCTGAGGTAGAGAATATTTTTTCTCTGTGACGCCTAGCATTTCAGGCAGAGGTAAAGCAACAAAGTGTCGTTTCTGTCTTTATAGTCAATTCAGGATTTTGCATACAATGTGGCTTCAAGAAACTTGCCTGATATATCTATTCATAGCATAGGTATTTCAGTGTAACTAGGATGAGTATATTAATGACATGTGCTTTTCTACGTCATACTTCGTACAAATGGCCAAACGGATTCATTTCTTATGAAGATCCAATGGAAAACATTGTAAACATAACACCAATGGCAAACAGTGTGCAATAAACAGAAGAAATTCATGCCTGAAATGTAATACGTGGATGTAGAAACCTTTTGAAATTCACAAAGAAGTCTTGTGAGTGTATGATTTTTCGATAGAGGCAAACTTCTATTGAAGAGATTGCTTCTGGACCTAGAAAGTCTTTTGTAACAGAATTGTTTTTAAAGGAATATATTGATAGACATCGTTTTTCCCAGTTGTAACCACTAGAGATGAAACTGCTCAGCCTAACTGCTGTAGGAAATTCATAAGTTCATTGAAGCAAATAAAAGGAGAAAGGTAGTTAAACTTATTCCTTTAATATTAGTTTTGAAACTTTTTGCTTTGGTTGATGGTTTGGGAGTAGAGGCAGGTTTTCATGTTTTTGTTTTTGTTGGAAAGAGTTCAGAGGACTCTTAGAGGTTTTTTGCTCTAAAATCTTCATTTTATAAATGAGAAAATTTAGGCCAGAGGGTTTACCTGCCCAAATTCATGTTGCTGGTGGTAGAGTCAGGCCTAGCTCCTAAGTCTTCTGATTTCCATATCAGTGTGCTTATCTTGAAGGAAACAGCTTCAGTGGGGTGCATTTCAAAGTATTTGGAGAAGCTAAAAGTAGCATATCTGAAAGAAGCTGAAAGACAAGTTTCATTTGATTATAGGACAAAAGAAATGCAATGTTTAGCTATGTATTAGCTTAATTTTTACTTTCCTAGGTTACAATGTAAATAATAGAATTTATTTTTTTACAGAGTTAAATAAATAAGGTCTACCCATAAGTTCAGGATTATTCTTTACATATATTTTATTATTACTCAAATCCACAAGTCTGTGTTTCTGTACTCACACATGGAAATAACTGTTATTTAGAGCTCATTTTCGATTATGGTTTTCATTAAAAAGGAATTGACATTGGATTTTGAAAAGCAAGAATAGAGACCAATTCCTGTCAATAAAGATATGAAGATGGGATATTGATTTTCATCTAAGCCTACAAATCCATTTCTGTTAACTGCTTCAACTAGAAACTAGTAGTCTTTATTCCTGAACTGTAAGGTTAAGCCACTGATAATGTCCCATTCCTGAATGCCAGTGTCCCATAAATTGTTTTGAAGCCCCGGTTTCCCTTTTTGACCTCTGATTCTTAACTTTGTTTTGAAACCCTGGTTTCCCTCTTTGACCTCTGATAGCCTTTAACTGTACCTTTGAAAACACTTAACATTTTCCATTTTAAACAGTATTATAGATACTTGTCCATTTATCTTCAACATGAGTTACCTAAGGTGCTACATGCATCTTATTTATAGTATCAATAGTATTTTGGGGGCCTCGCATAATGCTTGGCACATAGTGCTTATATCAGTAACTGATCTGTTTTTGTTGTTCCAGCATCTTAACTGTTAATCTTTAATTGATATTTGTTGAAAGAATTTTATGACAACCTGTGTGGACAAATGTACACTTGTGGATTGGGCAGGCTTTAAAGTGCCTTAAAACTTTGGAAGTCCATGCGTTATTTCATTCATTCCTTCAATAAACATTTGAGTTTCTCCTGTGTTTCAAGTACATGTGCACACTACAAGGACACTGGTGAAAACGACAAGGTCCTTTTAGGAAATTTTAGAAGATAACAAAACCACAACCGCTAATATTTATAATGGAAAAGAGAATCTTCAGATGGGGAAGAGTAACTGGATTCCACAGTCTAGTTGTCGCCTACGTTTTACCTTCCTTAGGAGGAATCTTTCACTTGGACTACCATTTTCACTCTGTGGTTCTGTGGTGGACTGGTGATATTCTAATCTTCAGGCCCAAGAGTAGATATAAACCCTCACCTTCAGTTCATTTTAGCATAGTTAAGAAAGGCTGGAACTTTACTGGTTATCAAGAGAGGAAATATAGGGGACTATAAGAAAGAAAAACAATCTGACTTATAATTAGAGATTTCTGTTGCTACCATAAAACAGAGCTTGTTCCCAGAACTCACTAGCCTTATGTGAGTATCTTTGCTTTGGTTGTAGCTGGGTTCTAGCTCAAGCCCAGCTTTGGTACTTTGGGTACCTCATTTCCCACCTTCTTTCTGGACTGTCTGGGCTATCTTTTCTGAGTGAACGCCATTTTAACATTCCTTGCTGAGGAGCTTCCTCACAGACATCTTGGCTCTATTTTGCAGCTTACCAGGGGCTTCCTCGTCCAGTGGCAGCTTCTTCTCCAAGTGTTGAAGGCCAGGAGAGTCTTCTCTCCAGGTAGGACCTAGCCCCATCCAGACGTTTATCTTTGTAAAGTCTTTATAGGCATATCTTAACACAGGTCAGTAGTCTTAGTGTTCATACGGAGAATTTCAGTAACTCTTGGTAGCATTAGGGAGTTATAGGAAATCCTGTTACTAGGTCTGTACCCACTAGTACTTCCATTAATAGTAGTTTATACCCATGCAATGGGTAAAAGTGTTTTTGTTTGTTTGTTTGTTTTTTTTATCTCAATATAAGGAGATGGGCTGAATGAAGACAAGCGCAAATAATGTCTTCTGGGGTTGCCTAGGAATTGCCTCTGTTTGTGGTGGTTAGAGAAAAGAAACTCTGCTCTGGAATGATCTTGCAGGATGAATAGGAGTTCCTGTGAAAAAGCGAGAGTCGAGGAAAGGATATTCTAGGTAGAGGAGGAAGAGAAAACTCCCATTCGTTGAGAGGCACTAGAATGGACTGGTTAAGTGTCGCGTCCCGCGCACGACATGAGCAGTGGGAGAACGAGAAGGGGCGGTGAAGGGTTAAGAAATAAAAGAAACAGCAGTCAAGAGTTAAATGAGTGTGGGGCCAAAGGTCTGCATCCTCGTAGACTAAGAGCCCCTAATCGGCTGACACATCGCTTTTATTTCTCCACCTACCCGGAAGTAGCATTGTTCTCTCCACAGTCTGTGAGTCTCATTCCAGAGAATTTGCTCTAGCCAGATTACCCATGTCTGCAAGCTGCTATTACCAAGAGTCCACTGCTGGGATAAAACAAATGCTCTGCCTTCACACACCCTATATGCAAACGACCCCAGGAAGATAAGATTGTTGTGCTGAGGACAGATACTATCACATCATCAGGTTACTTCCCAAGCAGGTTGAGGGAAGGAATGTAGCTACAGAGGTAGAAAACCTCCAGTCTTTTTGGGGGGCAAGTGAAGGCTCATGCCCACCTCCATCAGCCCCGAGATTTCTCCTAATGGCCTCCACCCGACTGTGCCTGTTTTAGGTTGTTCCTCCCACGAGGAATCTTACCCGTCATTGACTAACCGGCCATCCTTTGGAACCAAACAGGGAGACACAAAGTGTATGAGCAGTGTCCTCAAAAGGGTCAGTTTAGGGTTAAGCGCGGGGTGGGGTGGGGTGAGACGAGCGAGACAGCTGGACAGCTGTGTGGCAACAGTTAAGAGTATAAACTCAGCAGCAAGTCTGTTTGAATTTCGAACCCAGCTCTGAGGGTCACACTGAAGAATCTGGAAAATTAGTGGCTCCAGGGGAATAACTATAATAGTGAAAAGTCACAAATCTCTGGGTGCAAGAATTTGGAGTTCTTGTCTGGATAAAAAGCCCTGAGGCTGTAGGGGAGGGGGACACTGGGGAACTGCTGGTTTGTATGCTGACTTTATCCAGGACCAGTTTATGCAACATAGCTGTGCTCTCTGTAAACCCTGAATGCAGACAGAACCCCTGCAGTGAATAAAAGGGAATCAGATTTTTAG